TATTTGTCTAGTCGTTAACAGTTAAACATTCGTGTTGATTGAATAGGAGATCTTACATGCGTGTCGATAGAATATGGAATTCACTTAAGGAGTACAATAATTTAATATGTCACAAGCCTTTTGGCGGGTAATTTATATGTCAATAGCATGTAGGCGAGTAATTTATAACGGCAGGTGCTTTTCGGTGAGTGGCATATCAATTTATTTAACAAATTGAATACATTTTATAGAGTCCAAAATACGTCGGCGCGTGTGTTTGATTTTATTTATCATATAACCGATATTTCTGAAAATAAACGGAAACTCAGATGAATTTCTCTAAAAGATAAACTTACATCGGCGGTGCCGTTTCGTTTTTCACTACCGAGATAATCATGTGACGTCATGAAGACGTGCATTATTAATGACGTCACACTAATTATACACTTATAAAACTATGTAATGATTTTCATTCAACGTTGTGTTCACATGTCATCTGTTATAGTTTCATTCTGTATTTAATAACTTTATAGTAGTTTTTGTTGGATCAACATTAACTAGTCAATTTTTTTTCTGTTGTAGTAGTATGGAAGGAGACCTATGATAAAGAAAAGGACGTGTTTACAAAGTAGTAGGACTATACAGAACTAGAATCATCTGGCAGTGATGAATTCCGTATGTTTATCTATACAAGTCTTTGTTGCGGATCAGCACTTGGGTTTTGGGGAAATCATTTGTGATATTCCCATCATTTACCTACAGATATGACACGGTGTATAATTAAGATTACCGCCAACGGTACAAAATTTATGAAAAAGTTGAATCATGCCTTTCAACACTTGCATCAAAAAAATAAATTTGACAAAAAAAAGTCCAAAATGTTAAAAACAAAATGCAATCTGCACTTGCTGCCTGGTCCCTACAACAAGTGTACGGCTACCTGGGAATGACTTACGTGCAGCCAGAATACAGGACCAAAGGCTGAGGTAAATACGCCACAGCTAGCCTCACAAGACAAATGATCAACAAAACGGCTTTTGTATGGCAGCCATTGGCGGACAGAACTCGGCTTCTATAAATCTGCATTTAAAAGTAGGATTCAAACCAATAAACCGTTTATTTTATTCCGGACTGTTTCGAGCTAATTTATCGATGTCTGGTACTAAAACCGCTATCATGAGCTGCTCCTGGCTATGTTCCTATGTGTCTTTGATCGTTTTCCAAGACAGTGACACCGTCTGGAAGTTTTCTACCTTGACATAATATTGTAGGTTTTATTGTCACCGTGTTTAGAACATAACGTTGTGGATCAAATTACCGAAGAAACTGGGAAAGCCTGATATCAAATATCAAAATGATAAAAATATACTTCGCAATATTCTTTGTATTATATGAGGACTGTATGTAGCAAACTCATTTAAAGGCAGATGGTACGATACAATATTTATTGTAACCAGATAATGCCAATCGTTGGCATAGAAACGACAACAACTGTGAAAATATCTGATTACACTGTCGACAATGAATGTCTGTTTCAGTTTGTATCAAGTTATAATCGGCGAAATTCAGAAACTAGGTGTGGATAAAAATATTGAATTATCTATTATGGGATTTATAGCCATAAATGCTATATCATGCCAGTTCAGTCTTGAAAGAAAGAGGTGATGGTGTTCTGGATTCCCTAAAAACGTCATGGCGGTCTTTGTCTAAATTACAACTCTTCACTCCTGGCATCTCCTTAAGAATTGAAAAAATATTTCCAATCGTAAATACATGTATATCAAAACATTTCAATCGTAAATATATCAAATATTTAAATCGTAAATATATCAAACATTCAATCGTTAATATGTCAAACATTTAAATCTTAGAAATGTCAAACATTTCAATGGTTAATATGTTAAACATTTAAATCTTAAATATGTCAAACATTTAAATCTTAGAAATGTCAAACATTTAAATCTTAAATATGTCAAACATTTAAATCTTAGAAATGTCAAACATTTCAATGGTTATTATGTTAAACATTTAAATCTTAAATATGTCAAACATTTAAATCTTAGAAATGTCAAACATTTAAATCTTAAATATGTCAAACATTTAAGTCTTAGAAATGTCAAACATTTCAATGGTTAATATGTTAAACATTTAAATCTTAAATATGTCAAACATTTAAATCTTAGAAATGTCAAACATTTAAATCTTAAATATGTCAAACATTTAAATCTTAGAAATGTCAAACATTTCAATGGTTAATATGTCAAACATTTCAATCTTAGAAATGTCAAACATTTCAATGGTTAATATGTCAAACATTTAAATCTTAAATATGTCAAACATTTCAATCTTAAATAAATCAGTAGGAGTTTGAAGATGTTACACGATTTTTGTATCTCTCAGATTGTCACATCTAATGTATATCAATACTGTGGAGGTTATTTTCTCGCCATCCTATCCACGTCTTACCGACATAAGATTTGATATCAATATTAATATATAGTCCTATGTCAATATCACACTAGGATTACAGATACAGCCCCTGTCAATACCACACTCAGGTTACGGTTACAGTCCTATGTCAATATCACACTCAGGTTACGGTTACAGTCCTATGTCAATATCACACTCAGGTTACGGTTACAGTCCTATGTCAATATCACATTAGGATTACAGATACAGCCCCGTGTAAATATCACACTCAGGTTACAGTTTAAGCCCCTGTCAATACCACACTCAGGTTACAGTTACAGTCCCGTGTCAATATCACACTCAGGTTACAGTTACAGCCCCGTGTCAATATCTCACTCAGGTGACAGTTACAGTATATGTCAATATCACACACAGGTTACAGTTACAACCCCATGTCAATATCACACACAGGTGACAGTTACAACACCATGTCAATATCACACTCAGGTTACAGTTACAGTCCCGTGTCAATATCACACTCAGGTGACAGTTACAGTGCCGTGTCAATATTACACACAGGTTACAGTTACAGCCCCTGTCAATATCTCACTCAGGTGACAGTTACCATGTCAATATCACACACAGGTTACAGTTACAACCCCATGTCAATATCACACTCAGGTGACAGTTACTGTCCCGTGTCAATATTACACACAGGTTACAGTTACAGCCCCTGTCAATATCTCACTCAGGTGACAGTTACTGTCCCGTCTCAATATCACACACAGGTTACAGTTACAGCCCCGTGTCAATATAACACTCAGATGACAGTTACAGCCCCATGTCAATATCACACTCAGATGACAGTTAGAGTCCCGTGTCAATATCACACACAGGTGACAGTTACAGCACCGTGTCAATATCACACTCAGGTGACAGTTACAGCACCGTGTCAATATCACACTCAGGTGACAGTTACAGCCCCATGTCAATATCACACTCAGGTTACAGTTACTGTCCCGTGTCAATATCACACACAGGTGACAGTTACAGCACCGTGTCAATATCACACTCAGGTGACAGTTACAGCACCGTGTCAATATCACACACAGGTGACAGTTACTGCACCATGTCAATATCACATACAGGTGACAGTTACAGCCCCATGTCAATATCACACACAGGTGACAGTTACAGCACCGTGTCAATATCACACACAGGTGACAGTTACAGCACCGTGTCAATATCACACTCAGGTGAAAGTTACAGCACCGTGTCAATATCACACTCAGGTGACAGTTACAGCACCGTGTCAATATCACACTCAGGTGACAGTTACAGCACCGTGTCAATATCACACTCAGGTGACAGTTACAGTCTCATGTCAATATCACACACAGGTGACAGTTATAGCACCGTGTCAATATCACACTTAGGTTACAGTTACAACCCCATGTCAACATCACACACAGGTGACAGTTACAGCATCGTGTCAATATCACACACAGGTGACAGTTACAGCACCGTGTCAATATCACACTCAGGTTACAGTTACAACTCCATGTCAATATCACACTCAGGTGACAGTTACAGTCTCATGTCAATATCACACACAGGTTACAGTTACAGCACCGTGTCAATATCACACACAGGTGACAGTTACAGCACCGTGTCAATATCACACACAGGTGACAGTTACAGCACCGTGTCAATATCACACTCAGGTGACAGTTACAGCACCGTGTCAATATCACACTCAGGTGACAGTTACAGCCCCATGTCAATATCACACTCATGTTACAGTTACTGTCCCGTGTCAATATCACACACAGGTGACAGTTACAGCACCGTGTCAATATCACACTCAGGTGACAGTTACAGCACCGTGTCAATATCACACTCAGGTGACAGTTTCAGCCCCATGTCAATATCACACTCAGGTTACAGTTACTGTCCCGTGTCAATATCACACACATGTGACAGTTACAGCACCGTGCCAATATCACACTCAGGTGACAGTTACAGCACCGTGTCAATATCATACTCAGGTGACAGTTACAGCCCCATGTCAATATCACACACACAGGTGACAGTTAGAGCACCGTGTCAATATCACACTCAGGTGACAGTTACAGCACCGTGTCAATATCACACACAGGTTACAGTTACAGCACCATGTCAATATCACACTCAGGTTACAGTTACTGTCCCGTGTCAATATTACACTCAGGTTACAGTTACTGTCCCGTGTCATTATCACACTCAGGTTACAGTTACAGCCCCATGTCAATATCACACTCAGGTTACAGTTACTGTCCCGTGTCAATATCACACTCAGGTTACAGTTACAGTCCCGTGTCAATATCACACTCAGGTGACAGTTACAGCACCGTGCCAATATCACACTCAGGTGACAGTTACAGCACCGTGCCAATATCACACACAGGTAACAGTTACAGTCCCGTGTCAATATCACACTCAGATGACAGTTACAGTCCCGTGTCAATATCACACTCAGGTGACAGTTACAGCACCTTGTCAATATCACACTCAGGTGACAGTTATAGCACCATGTCAATATCACAAATGCACAAATGAACACGAACAGAAAATCAGTCCATCTGTTTTACTCGCATTAAACTACGTTTTAGAAATACAAGCGTGTAACTCTAAATAACAGTAATCTATGTTCAACAAAACGATAACAATGACACATCTATAAAAAAACATCCCTATAAATTAAAATTATACATGAGATATATATAAACAGAAGGTATCTACAATTTATAAAACGCGACAATGCAAACATGTTAAAAAGACACGTTTAAAAAACAGATATTTAAACACTATCACGAACAAAGTTAATACACATCCAAACTGAAAATGGTTTAAAATCCACAGTAGTCGCGAAGCGGATTATGTGTCCTGTTACTTTAGGTATCGTCCCTTTTCGCAGAATCTTAGTCATCAACATTACTAAGATGTCGTCTAATTACTTGAGTCTTGCACAAACCAAACTGACTCCTGGGGGCCGGCATTACCTCCTGCATGACTACTGTGAGCTTTTTGACGGTATTGAACTGGATCATATCCGTTCTCGGCTGGAATCTCACTGCTCCGCCTAGCACTAGTATATTGCCCTCGAAAGCACAAACTCCATAGTCTTTTCTAGGAAATGTCGATATATTTCCAACAACGAATGGTCGGTGATCCGCCCCTGGGTCGTATTGAAAGACCTCGCCATTTTTTGAAACAATATATAGTTTATCACTGACCACTACCGCTTGATACTTGGAGTTTGCTTCCTCTGGCAAGACCTGGTACTCCTCGCCGGAGTATTTGTCTTTGGCGTTGAAATATTGCACTCTGCTGATCTGGTTTCCTCTTGAATCAAAACCACCAACAACATAGATTATCTGACCAAGAACTGCACACGAAGCGGACCTCACTGGTATCGCCATGTGATGCTTTCTCCCACCTGTCACCCATCGTAATGTGGCCAGGTCAAACAGATCAATGTGCTGGTATGGACTTGATTTGGCAGTGTCGTAGCCTCCCAGCACATACAAAGTATTCCGGACAATTGCCATACAGTGACGTTGTCTCCCATGAGGCATTTCTCCCATCTTGTCCCATTTATTCATCTCTCCATCGTAACGTAATAAAACTTTCTTATGCGAAGTGCCACCGGAAACGAAAATGTTCAGGCCTTCTGAACAAACTGCAAAATCGAAACCAACATCGAATGGCAAAGCAGCCAATTTGAACCATTTCTTCTGAGAAAAACTGAAGCATTGCATATCCTTATTGGATCCATCCTCACATCCACCAATCACGACTAGCGATTCATCACTGAGTAGGCCTTGGTTAGCTGAACCGGCGAACTGGCACGAGTAACGTGCTTTCTTTAGTGAGTATATTGTACTCTGATATGTACTGTCTTCGCGTATATCTCGAAAACTGTCACATGAAATTATCGCCTCGACGTCATCTACATCCACGGGAACAACGTTTAAGGCTTTCATGATCTCTTCAATGTAAACAGCACGGTTTTCGAAGTCTGCAATTATCCACAACATGACAGCCTTACAAATGATACGTTTGTCTGGACAGTTCATGTTCTGACCGTTTAGAATGGTAAGAATATAGTCGATTTTGCAAAGGGACAAGAAATCATTGCTATAGCAGACCTCTTGGAAGTGTTTCTTTACCAAGGACAGTGCAAGTGCTTCTAGCTCGGCAAAACCATGCGCTTCTGCAGTTTGCCATACGGTAAGACAATTGGTTTGGTCTAGATTTGTTGAGAGAAACTTGAGACAGGAGGCTTCCAAAGAAGGCATCTGGAATTGCTTTGCGATTTCCAGAAGATGTCCTGCAGAAGACATGTCTATAGCAGATTCTCCCATGTATATGAACTGAAGAACCTTCTCGCAAATATTCATCTCCTCAGAAACGATATATGGGGTCAGATCAACTTCGCGGGTCAAAGACTCCTACAAGAAATTGATCTATTTAATCAACGATGAATAGGTAGGGAATGCTAATATATTCTGTGAAACAAACAAGACATTTAAACATTAAAAAAACTATGAATGTCTTCATCAAATTTAACAAGAAATGAAAGTTCCATCCATAGAAAATCTAGTAATCTGAGAACCAGCTGATATCCTTTGTGACAATAATACATAAAGTATACACAGCATTTCTAGATTAATATCGTGTCTATGGAAATATCTTTTGCATTGTACAAGATGCGCAATACATCTTTATTCAGAACAAAGCCAAAGCCCCTTCCCTGAACAATATAGATATCTTATGGTTGATATAAAATCAATGCCTTATGGACCAATACTTCTGTTATTAAAAATATCAAAACATTGCTTTGATTATTTCGCTATTAGCTTGTCAATGTCTCACATTCGAGATATTGCGTTTAGGTATCGCGGTTGTCAAACCTCATTATGTCGAGATTTATTAACCTTCTATATTCATATTACACGAATATTTAAACATTATCTATTATCTACAATTTAATTCTGCTGCCTACTAATATAATTGATCGGAACATCAGATCAGTAACGAAGCTTACAGTCTGATCAAGTCTCTCTGCTAGCTTTCTGTATGACTGCTTCAAACACTGCATTTAACATACTCTGATGACTCTCAATAATGATCAATTGCTTTATACAGAAAAATATCAAAGAAGAATTGTAGATACTTTGATTCGATATAGATGAACTTGAACAGCATGTGGTACACACAAAAGCCTTCTGCACTTTCCGACCTATCTTATACACAAAGAAAGCTATCGTGGACAAAAGAAATTTTGAAGTAAAAAACAAATTGATTGGAATAAAATGCTGTTTATTGATACCAAGGACAGTACCTTCGCATATCTATATAGAATTTAACACACCTGCATTTCAACATCAAACATGCACTCAAAGAAATCAGACACGGCCGCTAGCACCACTCGATGACAGGAAAACGATCGATCTCCGCATCTGATTGTGACATCACTGTATTTCCCGTCTAGTCTGAGGCGGTTGAGTCCTTTTAGAAGGTCGGTTTGATGCAATGCTGCAGCCATATCTACAATAAATCAATTTCGCTGTATTACTAGCATTTACGTATGTTGAAATCGTATCCCGTACCTAAAATTAATATGCTTTATACAACTTGAGTTAATAAGATTCATTAATGGCCAGTTCACAGGACAACACACCCGTATGTTTTTAGGTCCGTCCTGTATTTTAACACTACATGTTTCAAAATGTTTCAGATTATGTTTTGTTTGATATAGTTTATAATCTTAATCCCAACCCATAATAATACAAGCTAGATGACACCGAGATGGAAAACGTCCCCATGGGCTAGCTATCATGGCAGGAATTAGCCGATTGTAAAGTTAAGGAGCGAACACAACTTAGTCCATCTCATTGGAACATGGAAAATCACTGGATAAGAAAATCTATATAATCACATACCAAAAAGCTGGCATTGGAATCAAAACCAAATTGATCCATTGATTTATCTAAACATTATGTTTTAAGGAATCACAACAGAAGGAAGACATTAATCCCGATTTTAACTGGATTTTAGTATGCCACGTCAACCCTTCTTCTAAACAACATACATGTACCATCAGTTACAGACTTGAAACCATACTCATTTGCTTCCTAAATGTCTTTAATCTTTTATCATGATTAAGACTTGCCACGTAATGAAATGTAAAATTTAACACCATCTGGCTATTAATGACATTTCTAGAATTAGCAACATAGTAGTCTTGTTTTAGTAACCTGGAAGTCTAGTTTTAGTGACGTGGTAGTCTAATTTAGTAACGTGGTAGTCCAGTTTTAGTGACGCAGTAGTCTAGTTTAAGTGACGTAATAGTCTAGTTTTAGTGACGTAGTAGACTAGTTTTAGTGAAGTTGTAGTCTAGTTTAGTCATTATATAGTTTAGTTTTAGTGACGTGGTAATCTAGTTTAGTGACGTAGTAGACTAGTTTTAGTGACGTGGTAATCAAGTTTTGGTGATGTTATAGTCTTGTTTTAGTAACGTGGAAAGCTAGCATAAGTAACGTATTAGTCTAGTTGTAGTGACGTAGTAGTCTAGTTTAAGTGACATAGTAGTCTAGTTTTAATGACGTGGTAGTCTAGTTTTAATCATGTTATAATCTAGTGTTTGTCACGTTGTAGTCTAGTTTAGTGACGTGGTAGTCTAGTTTTATTGACGTGGTGGTCTAGTTTTAGTGACGTGGTAGTCTAGTTTTATTGACGTGGTAGTCTAGTTTTACTGACGTGTAGTCTAGTTTTAGTGACGTGTAGTCTAGTTTTAGTGACGTGTAGTCTAGTTTTAGTGACAAAGAAGTCTAATTTAAGTGACGTGGTAGTCTACACGATAATGTAGTTAGTAACATGGGTAGTAAAGGCAAATTTATTCGTTTAGTTTCGAGTCACGTTCCGAGAATCCGACAGATAATGAAAGCGAAAGTACATCATACACTATTTAAGAGAGAGTTGTATTGTCTTATTTTATTATCATATCAATCAGTCATGCAAGTTATTGTGTATATCACACTGAATCCGTTTTGTTTTTAAAACGGTCAGTGGCCCAAATTAACTGTTTGAAATAAGCATTGATCAGATAACAGTTTCTACTTCTTTGTGTCTAGTCAATACATATATTGATCCAGTCATTGAACTTGGCTTTGTCACACCAACACTCAGTCTTTTAGTTCAAACTTGGACGTATAATCCTCACTCTGCTTCTTGAAAATCTAAAAATGTTCTACATTCGATATAATGTGGCTTTCTACTTTCGGTTTAGAGATATTACCGCATTGATTTGAAGCGAGTTTTTATGTTCATAGACACGAACTGTTCATGCCATTCTATTACAGTTACCATTTTGAAGTTTAAATGACAACATAACTTAATACATATCCTTATACAATCAGCTGACTCAAGCCACTCACCTTTAACTGGTGTCGCTATATGTTGTATATGTCGGCCATTTATATGAAATTCCACTTCCTGTTGATCGTGAGGCACCTCGAAGGGGGATACCAATGATGTATAATTACTATATATATTTATTACAAGATCAACTGTATTGTGTTGAACATTTGTTATTTTTTCCTTTCCGTACTCTGTGTCTGAAAAATGCCAACAATTAAAAATTACGTAGATTTGAGTTAAATTGACATCTGGACTAGTTTACAAAGATCAACGTACAATTGTATATACACATGCAGGCACATTAACGACACCGTTCGGGTCAGCATTGTAAAGTATTGAGAAACAATAGACAGATTATGTCATTGTGTGATCGTCGGTATAATGTAGAATAATGACAATCCAACATAGTCAGACTACGATACAGTGGTAATATACATTCACCTACAGATTGTTGTATTTCATAATATCTATCCTTATTTAAGGAGGAAATCGGTAGTACGAATGAATGATTTTGATCGTTTATCAGAATCGCAAACACTCTGTACCTTCAATTAAAGAGTTATTGTTCGCGTTAAAAAACACATACTTAAGGGTTTAGAAAAAATCAGGTCAGGTTTTACCTCAACTTGAGTTTTGAGGTAATGGAACAATGTTTGAAAGTACAAGATGGTTGTTTCATTCCGGACAACAAGCTAGTGTTAAAAAAAACATACACAACAGACAGACTAATTGAGACACTTTCCCCTCAGATTAAGTTGTATTATCACTTACCAGCCTGCTGGTCTCACGTTTCAGTTACCATGCCATATCAGTAATATCGTTATAGCTATAACCGGGGATATAGAGAATTCTACAAATAGACGTAGTTGGTGACAGGTTTGCGATTTTAAACACTTGAATAAATAACTATGTGAATTTCTCATACAAGAAACTCTTTTGATTCTATTCATAGGAACACACCATTTCTAATAAATGTTCCAGACAAACTGTATGACAAATTATGCACCGGTTCAACAGCCTAGAAATGAAGATGAACCACTACACGTCCGTGGCCAACAGTTGATATACAAGTACTCACTTCTGGTCATGGAGGAATATTGATATAGGATTAGTCTAGATACAGTACATGCCTATGAAAACATTATGTTTACACTATACAGTAAGCAAATCCATCTAATATCAATTTTTTTCGTCATTTTTCTGGAAGGAGGTATTGATAAGATACATATATCTGACCCGATCATAGCCAATGGCTATCATCTAGTGCTTTTAATAAATACCAGGCCTCCATCTACCCCTATATTAAACCGACCTCATTCCTCGTATTACAGCCACATTAATGCTGCCTCTGCTACCCCGGTAGGGTATTAAACCGACTTCATTCCTCGTGTCACAGCCATATTGATGTCGCCTCCATCTACCCCTATATTAAACCGGCCTCATTCCTCGTGTCACAGCCACATTGATGCTGCCTCTGCTACCCCGGTAACGTATTAAACCGACCTCATTCCTCGTGTCACAGCCACATTAATGCTGCCTCTGCTACCCCGGTAACGTATTAAACCGACCTCATTCCTCGTGTCACAGCCATATTGATGCCGCCTCCGTCTACCCCTATATTAAACCGACCTCATTCGTCGTGTCACAGCCACATTGATGCTGCCTCTGCTACCTCGGTAGGGTATTAAACCGACCTCATTGCTCGTATCACAGCCACATTGATGCTGCCTCTGTTACCCCGGTAGGGTATTAAACCGACCTCATTCCTCGTGTCACAGCCATATTGATGCCGCCTCCATCTACCCCTATATTAAACCGGCCTCATTCCTCGTGTCACAGCCACATTGATGCTGCCTCTGCTACCCCGGTAGCCGACCTCATTCCTCGTGTCACAGCCATATTGAATTCGCCTCCATCTACCCCTATATTAAACCGACCTCATTGCTCGTGTCACAGCCACATTGATGCCGCCTCTGTTACCCCGGTAGGGTATTAAACCGACCTCATTCCTCGTGTCACAGCCATATTGATGCCGCCTCCATCTACCCCTATATTAAACACACAGCCACATTGATGCTGCCTCTGCTACCCCGGTAACGTATACCGACCTCATTCCTCGTGTCACAGCCACATTAATGCTGCCTCTGCTACCCCGGTAACGTATTAAACCGACCTCATTCCTCGTGTCACAGCCATATTGATGCCGCCTCCGTCTACCCCTATATTAAACCGACCTCATTCGTCGTGTCACAGCCACATTGATGCTGCCTCTGCTACCTCGGTAGGGTATTAAACCGACCTCATTGCTCGTATCACAGCCACATTGATGCTGCCTCTGTTACCCCGGTAGGGTATTAAACCGACCTCATTCCTCGTGTCACAGCCATATTGATGCCGCCTCCATCTACCCCTATATTAAACCGGCCTCATTCCTCGTGTCACAGCCACATTGATGCTGCCTCTGCTACCCCGGTAGGGTATTAAACCGACCTCATTCCTCGTGTCACAGCCATATTGAATTCGCCTCCATCTACCCCTATATTAAACCGACCTCATTGCTCGTGTCACAGCCACATTGATGCCGCCTCTGTTACCCCGGTAGGGTATTAAACCGACCTCATTCCTCGTGTCACAGCCATATTGATGCCGCCTCCATCTACCCCTATATTAAACCGGCCTCATTCCTCGTGTCACAGCCACATTGATGCTGCCTCTGTTACCCCGGTAGGGTATTAAACCGACCTCATTCCTCGTGTCACAGCCATATTGATGCCGCCTCCGTCTACCCCTATATTAAACCGGCCTCATTCGTCGTGTCACAGCCACATTGATGCTGCCTCTGCTACCCCGGTAGGGTATAAAACCGACCTCATTGCTCGTATCACAGCCACATTGATGCCGACTACCCCGGTAGGGTATTAAACCGATCTAATTCCTTGTCTCACAGCCACATTGATGCTGCCTCTGCTACCCCGGTAGGGTATAAAACCGACCTCATTGCTCGTATCACAGCCACATTGATGCCGACTACCCCGGTAGGGTATTAAACCGATCTAATTCCTTGTCTCACAGCCACATTGATGCTGCCTCTGCTACCCCGGTAGGGTATTAAACCGACCTAATTCCTCGTCTCACAGCCACATTGATGCCGCCTCTGTTGCCCCGGTAGGGTATTAAACCTCATTCCTCGTGTCACAGCCACACTGATGCCGACTCGGTTTGCTAGCATACTGCACCAATCAGTTGCTTTCCGTCTTTCCCGATGACTCATTTTTTCCTCATGGCCCTCCACAACGACTGACCGGCACAATCGTTATATCAAAACTCCGTTTATCTGCTCATAATCTTGCAAACCAGAAAGTGTAGAAATTATGTCAGGTCATACAGTACCTGTGACCTTATAAAAATAGAGGATGAATTTCATTTCTTTTTTTATCTGTCCTAAGTATTCAGTTATAAGGAGGAGGTATACTGAAAAATACTATCATCATAAGCTACCTGAACACAAAGTTATAAAATGATTAAATTCTAACTTTTTAAATTTGTTAGGCAAATACATTATTGTAGGAAATAAATGTGTTTATGATTCCAGCTGTAAATTGTAAGAAGAAAGCGTTCTTTATTTTTATATCTTGGTATATGTGATTCACTAGTACACTTCTCTGTATGTTTTGTACCCTATTCCATTTTCTATTTATTGTCAATCTTTTATTTACTTGACGTTAATGTAATGTTGAAATGTGCCTGGCACTTCGAGATTATTGTCACGCGCGGAAATATAGTCACACGCTTCAATAGGTATGAAAAGCAATAAAATGAATTTTCTGAAATAAACTTGTTCGTTACAACTTATAAAATCACTTATATAAAAAATCATTCATGTCTGAAATGTACAATTTAAGTAGAAAGTAATCCTGTCAAGTTAATACGCGTGCTAAAATGCAGCTGTTGTCCGTCACCGCTGAATACAGCTAAAATACCTGTAGTCGGTGTATTCCCACAATGGCAGTTGTAGAATAGATATGTAGAGATATTGAATTTAAATATATTGTATTTTACCAATTGGATGAAAGAATTATACACACGCTATTTAATCTATGAAGCCTAATGTCAATATATGAGAAAGTGTAAGTGATTATAGACAGACAAATAGGTATATATAACTCAGGTTGGGTGGGGGGAGGTGGGCACAGACTCTCGCACATCTACATTGAATGACCAAGTGTTCAGCAGCCGATTTGACAACGGTACATCGTTACCAAATTGAACTAAATAGTAATCGTTACCAGACTATTTATCTATAATCTGCTTACGATCTCGTCATACTATTTCTTACATTAGTGTACATAGGATTATAGTACAGCCGAAAACGTTGGTCGATTCCTTACCATCTCGTCACACTATTTTCTACATTAGTGTACATAGGATTATAGTATAGCCGAAAACGTTGGTCGATTCTTTACCAGCTCGTCACACTATTTTCTACATAAGTGTACATAGGATTATAGTACAGCCGAAAACGTTGGTCGATCCTTACCATCTCGTACACTACGTATATCAGTGCCACACTGGTCATTTGTCTGATGAAGTTGACCGTGTGGTCATCGAAATGTCACACTCTAATTTTCTACTGGTTGTGTTTTAAGAACCTCTATTCTAACAAAGTGATAAGTGTTGTAATATACGGAGCGAACAGCTGTTCCTACAATATTGTTTTACCTGGGAAATAAATTGATATCCATAATACATTATGTTCGAGAAATTCTAGATTTACTAGTCAACATACTATGAACGAGTCTCTCACTTATACCGGACTACCAGTCTGAAAGGAGAGTGGAAACCTTCAACTCAGAAGATCATTAGTAGGAATCTCATGACCCACATTTGTTTCAGTAAGACCTATTACTTGATATTTATTTGCGATATTTTCAATAATATCTGATGTATTTCTAATATTGCTGATTTGACCACATTCTAGACCTAAACATTTATAAGATGTAATAATAGCTTTTAGCATTACAAGTGTATAAGAAAAACTCAAAAATATTAAGACGGGTTAGT